GTATTTCATTGTGTTGATAGACCACAGTTTAACCGTTTTCCTATTGATGAGTACATGGGCTGTTTCACAAAAACTACAGGTAAATAGTAACTGTAGCCATCATGTTGTAGATTACATTCTCATGAGTTATTATCTGATAATGGGGTTATCTGATCATTTGGACCACTTTTACCCAATTCCCCCACCCTCTTCTCCAGCCTCTGGTAACCACAAATATGCTATGTTTTTCTCTTTGAGATTTATTTATTTATAAATTCCACATATAAGTGAGATGATATAGTATTTGTGTCTTTCTGACTTATTTCACTTAGCATAATGCCCTTGAGGTCCATCAATGTTGTCGCAAATGGCAGGGTTTTCTTCTTTTTCAATGGCTGAGTAGTATATTATTGTGTATACCTAGATGCATCTTCTTTATCCATTCATTTGTTGACAGATTCTTAAGTCGTTCCCATGTTTTGGCTATTGTAAATAATACTACAGTGAACACAGGGGGTGCACAGCTCTTGTGGAGTTAGTGTTTTCATTCTATTTTGATAAATACCCAAAGTAGAATAGCTGAGTCATAAGTAGCTCTACTTTCAGTTTTTGAGGAGCCTTCCTTCTGCTTTCCATAGTGGCTGCATCAGCATGCAATCCCAACAACGGTGCAGGAGGCTTCTCTCTCTCTCCACATCCTCACCAGCACTTGTTTGTTGCTTTATTAATGATAGCCATTTTTATAAGTGTGAGGTGGTATCTCATTGTGGTTTTGATTTGTATTTCCCTAATGATTAGTGACGTTGAACACCTTTACATGTACCTTTTGGCCATGTGAATATCTTCTTTGGATAATGTCTATTCAGTTCCTTTGCCTACTTTTTTTTTTTTTTTTTTTTTTTTAAACTAGAGGCCTAGTGCACAAAATCCATGCACTAGTAGTGTCTCCAAGCCTGGCTGGCAATCTGGGCCTATCAGGTTCCCCGCTTCTCAGTCTCCCCACCTCCTACTTCCCTTGCTCCCTCCCTCAGCATCCTGCCCTCACTGGTTGCCTGCCATGTTCCACACCACCCCCTGGCGGTCAATGCACGTCATAGCAAGCAATGGAACTCTCGGTCTCCCAGTTGACCTCCATAGGAAACATTTTCCATATTTGCCTTTTATTTATTATAGGATGCGTTTTTTTGTTTGTTTGTTTGTTTGTTTGTTTTGTCTTGTTGTTGATATTTGTTGTTGGGTTTGGTTTGTTTTTTGCTATTGAATTCTATGAATTTATATATTTTGGATATTAACCCCTGCCAGATACATCATTTGCAAATAATTTCTCCATTTGTTTGCCTTTTCCTTTTGTTGATGGTTTTCTTTGCTGTGCAGAAGCTTTTTGGTTGGCTGTATTCCTACTTGCTCATTTTTTATTCTGCTGCTTGTGTTATATCCAAAAAATCATTGTGAAGACCCAGGAGAGGAGCTTTTTTCCAGGCCAATTTTTTAAAACCTGTGTATTATGTGGGCTGCATTCAGGAGAAACATATTTTCCGGACCTTATTTGTTGCGTTTTACTAGTTTTGTTACAATTCTATTTGAAATCTCTAAACAAAAACCTGTAAGTTCTTATTCTTTGCTGTTATATAACCATAAAAGCAATGCACACAAATTAAGGATGAGCAAAACTTTGAAAACCATTAAGTGCAAGTTAATTACATTAGCTTAATGTAAGGGATGGTATTGTTTGCTGAAGCTAGATTGGTGCTTACACACAGTGGGTGGCACCCTGTTTCAGCATGAATTCTTTCGGGTTGGCAGGTCTATCTAACTGGGCGCCATGCGATGACTTAATTCATCTGCCATTTTCTCCATTTAAATGCACATGAACTGCTTATTCAGATGTCACTGGCTACATCATTTTAGTGTTTACATCACTTCTATGCCTCTATTCTCTTCTTTTTAGTAGCGTGTACACAGTATAAATTGCATGTAGCAAACTGTGTGCCAATATCCAGCCTTATAAGGCCAATCTAGATTATGTATAGTTTGGTTATAGTAGCTTATTTTAGATTATAATGAAAATGCATAATTTAGAAATCTCCTAGCAAACTGTAGACCTTTAAGAATATATACCCGGCCAGTGTATTGAGCATTGATCTATGAACCAGGAGGTCACGGTTCAAGTCCCGGTCAGGGCACACGCCCAGATTGCAGGCTTGGTCCCCAGTGAGGGGCACGCTGGAAGCAGCCGATCAATGATTCTTTCATCATTGATGTTTCTACCTCTCCCTCCCTCTGGGAAACCAATAAAAATATATTCTTAAAAACAGAATAGAAATCACTGTTGCCCATGGGCCCAACAGCACGACATGAGAAGTCTCAAAAGAGGAAACAGCTAGAAGTGACACCAAGGCTCCGAGGTCCTAGTGATCTATCTTGTCAGAGCGCCTGGTGGATATTCAGTCCTCAAGTCCTAAGGACCTGCGTGTGAAAACGGAGGATCCAAGGAGAAGCCAGTTTGGGGAACGTGCCCCAGGTGGGCGTGTTAAACCATCAGGGGACGCCCACACAGCTGCTGGCCTCCTGCACTTTATGGCTCACCTGGAAAGGGAGGACTGTTTTGTTTATTGCCTTCCACATTCACTGGTTGCCATCGGATGTCACAGGCAGAGACGGGAACCTGGAGCATAACTGCTCGTGCTGCCAGGGAGCACCTCAGTTTTCAGATTTTTGCATTTTGGGGTTTCTTAAAGCAAGTCACATTGTCAGTTCAACAGGAAGATGAGTGTTGGGCTTGCTGTGTGTGTCCTTTCCTTATTCCCTTGCTTTTTCATTGAAAGAACATTTAACGTGAGATATACTCTCTTCGCAGATTTTTAAGTGAATAGTATAGGATTGTTAAGTATCCGTATGAAGTCATGCAGCAGATCCTCGGGTCTTGCAGGGCTGAGATTTTATACCTCTTCGATAATAACTCTCCATTCCCCCTTCCCCCACCCCAGCCTCTGGCAACAACCATTCTGCTCACTGCTTCTGTGAGCTTCAGTGTTTCAGATTCCTCATGCGAGTGGAATCACACTGTGCTTGTTCTTCTGTGGCTGGCTTATTTCACTCAGCGCAATGTCCTCAAGGCTCGTTTCTGGTATCGCGTACAGCAGGATTTCCCTTTTTAAGGCTGCTTAAAATTCCATGTGCTCTTCAGATGCACACTAAATGCAGGGCTCCACCGTAGTCCCACCCAACCCACCTGGAATCTTTCTCTTCTGTGGCCAATTCTCTTGTAACTTCCCAAATGCCTTTATGGTCCTTGTTGACTGGATCATAGAGGGAATGAAAGAAGGTGCCAGAATTCAAGGAAGGGCTGAGGCCTGAGCAGGAACAAGCTTGTGTGTGTGTATGGGGGTGGTGGTGGTGGTGTCAGATTTGACAATTGTGTGGTGCTGTGCTGCGCCCCTGCTGTTTCCTAGGGCTGCTGTTACATCTTAGTGTCGATTTTCCATGGACCAACTTGTAATTCAGCACTGGAACGTTCCTCACCACTTCCTCTCCCCATAGAAACCCCAGTATCATGGTGACTGAGTTTAATTTCCCTTGTCCACTCCTCTTTTTAAAAATATATATTTTTATTGATTTCAGAGAGGAAGGGAGAGGGAGAGATAGAAACATCAATGAGGAGAGAGAATCTTTGATTGGTTGCCTCTGGCATGCCCCCTACTGGGGATCAAGCCTGCAATCTGGGTGTGTGCCCTGACTGGGACTCGAACTGTGACCTCCTGGTTCACAGGTTGATGCTTAACCACTGAGCCATACCAAGTGGCTGTCCACTCATCTTCCAACTTTACCCATTGGGCTTGGCTCTGTCAGCCCACCAGCCATCATCCTGGTGGGCCCTGCCTTCTCTGCAGGTCACACAGCGGGCAGCCCAGCAGTGGACAGCCCCGGTGCCTGACAGCAGAGGCTGTGGGAAGAAGGCGGCATTCATTTTGAGAGATTCCCAAGGCCTGTGGTGTGTAAGCCCATTGCCATTCCATCCAAAATCCTAGCCAGATTTTCCTCATCTGCAACCTTAGTGCCGGAGGAGCCCGCGTTCTGGAGGCGGTGCGTGAAAGTGGTAATTGAGGCTTGCACGTTTTTAGGTAATTTATTCTGGTTTCCTTCCAACGGCCTGTGAGCTAGAACTTAAATACAGCTTCGCCGGAGTTGGTGTTTCTTCCTGTTTAGAGAGCCTAGCATAATATTTTGTCTTCTGGGCTCAAATAACCACGTAATTACTCGGTAATCATATAGTAATTAGCATGCACTATATGCATTTATTACATAATTATGTTCCTGGGGGATTGCATGGCAATTATACTTAGATCCAGCATATCATTTTATATACTGTGTAATGAACAAGTGTATAATTTGTTGCTTTCTTCTTTTATCCCGGTTTCCGTTTGCCAACCAGGAGTCGGGAACGTCTCCTCCTCTCGCCTTGTTTACGTGTAATCCGGCAGGTGCGCCGGCTCCTCCGGCCTCGCTCAGTGCCTCCTAGTTAAGCGGCGAAGGGAGTGCTGGGAGCTGGCGTTCCGTGGTGGGCTCCCGGCGTTCGTATGCTTACTATTTGCCCCTGGTCCGGAACTCTTAAAGCAATTAGCTTCCCAGCACAGAGTCGGTCAGAGCTCCGAGCACTGCCAGGTACATGCAAGGTACCCATGAGAGCCCTGGAGGTGCTTTCTTTCTTTTTTTTATTTACATATATATATATATATATATATATATATATATATATATATATATATATATATGAGTTAGAAACATCGATGAGAGAGAAACATCGACCAGCTGCCTCTTGCACATCCCCTTCTGGGGATGTACCCGCAACCAATGTACATGCCCTTGACTGGAATCGAACCCGGAACCTTTCAGTCCGCAGATCCACGCTCTATCCACTGAGCCACACCGGCCTCGGCCCTGGAGGTGCTTTCGTTACAGGGTAGCGGCCACGCGCCCCGCACGGTGCTCACGCCCTCCTCGCCTTGCTCTCCCCTCTGCAGTGGAGCACATCCCCAAGGGGAACAACTGCCTGGACGCCGCCAAGGCCTGCAACCTGGACGACACGTGCAAGAAGTACCGGTCCGCCTACATCACCCCGTGCACCACCAGCATGTCCAACGAGGTGTGCAACCGGCGCAAGTGCCACAAGGCCCTGAGGCAGTTCTTCGACAAGGTGCCGGCCAAGCACAGCTACGGCATGCTCTTCTGCTCCTGCCGCGACATCGCCTGCACCGAGCGCCGGCGGCAGACCATCGTGCCCGTGTGCTCCTACGAGGAGCGGGAGAAGCCCAACTGCCTGAACCTGCAGGACTCCTGCAAGACCAACTATATCTGCAGGTAGGCACGCGGGAAGGCGGGAGATGCATGAGGTGGCAGTGGGGGGGCGGGTAGGGACCACCTTGGCTGCGTCTGGGGCCGAGCCCGAGGGAGGGGTGGGCAGGGCAGGCATTGGAGAGATTGGCCAGGAACTGACCTGTGTGTGTGACACATGGTCTTTCAGAGGCTGGTCAGGTGACTGCTGTGCTGGGAAGGTTCCCAGTGTGCCCCGGGAGAGCGCCCAGGGTGGCCGGGATGAGGTCCGTACCACTGTGCTTAGCACATAGGGAGGGCACGTGAGCAGGGTGAGTCTGAAGTGGGCACATGCCCTCTCCCCAGCCTTGAGACGCTGCCAGGAGTCCCAGGAGGTTAAGTAAGTCCGGGGAGGGATGGGCTGGAGACACAGAGGTTCATGGCCATCGAGGTCAGAACACTGGGGAGACCAGAGAGAGGGTTTGAGCTGTGGCCCGCCCTGCAGAGAGTTCCAGAATCAGTCACTGGTGTGGGTGGAAGGAGCAGGCCCCCATGCTCCCAGATCCCGCCTCCAGCAGACACCTGCTGAGCCTGGGCCCTGGTGTTGAAAACAGTCGCTTCTTTTGCCCTTGGGGCCACGGCCCGTTCCGATGTTGGAAGGAGTGCCTGAAGGTAGTCTCGTTTCTGTATTGTTGTTGTTTTGTTTTTCTAAGCCAGTGGTCGGCAAACTTATTGGTCAACAGAGCCAACTATAAATAGCACAACGATTGAAATTTCTTGGGAGAGCCACATTTTTTAAACTGCTTCTACCGCCACTTCTTCAAAATAGACTCGCCCAGGCCATGGTATTTTGTGGAAGAGCCACACTCAAGGGGCCAAAGAGTCACAGTTTGCCGACCACGGTTTTAAGCATTATAGAACGAGGAAGAGGGAAAGAGGTCTCCCTTCACGCTCCTCTCCCTTGCCCCCGGTGGCCACTGTCAGCAACGTGATGTGTGTCCTTCCAGAGTTTTGGGACTGAGTTCAGGTGCTGATGGAGCAAGTAGATTGTGAGAAGCAGAGACTTGTCTTTGCTGCCTCAGGTGACCCTGGTGCCACATTCAGAGGCGAAGTCTGGGTGCAGGGCTGGAGGTTCAGAGGGGGCATCCGTTGGCAGCCCCTGGACTCGCATGCCCCCAGCAGACGCTCACTGCGCAGGTGTGTGAGTGAGGGTGTGTGATTGCCTGCTTTCTTACAGATGCCCCGGTGTAGTTCTAAAGAGCAGGAAAGAGGAGGCTGATATTTTGAGGATGCTGGTGAACTGAGTTCTGGTCAATTTCAATTTCATTTTGGTAGAAGGGGACACCTCCCCCCTTCCCCCGACCCCACTGTCTTTCCTTAGACTACCATACCTCTAAGAGGGACCAAAGAAAAAGACAAGTAGGACCTTCGCATGCTGAAGATTTTCAGGGAGTTTTCCCCCTGTATTTTATTATTATTATTTTTTTAAGTTGGATGCAGGTGGCCTGCTCCATGAGGGAGAGCTCAGGTGGCCACGTGGGTCTTAGGGGAGGAGTCAGGTGTTTCTGCAGAGCAACTGCTCCGAGGCTCTTCCTCCCTTCCACGCCCAGTTCCATCCAGTCCCTCTCAGTTGTGGGCTGGGGTCTGGATGTCTACACTGGAAGGGTCCTGAGCAAGAGGCAGGGTCCCCCCCACAGCTCTGACCTGGGGAGCCAGTCAGCCAGGGAGCCACAGACCCCCTGCAGGAGGCGGACATGGTGAGGAGCAGGACGTGGGTGGGGGTGGGGGCAGCCTGGAGCTTTGCTCGGGGTGGAGGATCTCAGGGAACAGAGAGTCCAGGAAACCCTCTCCTGGAGACCTCTGGGTCTGCAACCCCAAGTTCCTGGGCCACATTCAGTCTTTGAATGGAAAGGACCCCTCTTCTAGGAGCAGGACTGGGTTTCCAGGGTCCTGAAGGCAGACCACTCTCTCTGCCTCTGCAGAGGTGACCCTGGGCCCTGGTGGCTCCAAGTAGCTGTGGAGGGAGCAGTGGATGCACCTTTCGCCCAAGGGGCAGTGAAGGGAGGGCGGGGGGAGGAGCCTTTTCCTCTTATGAGGTTCATCTTGCACACGAGGTCTGGGGGAGGTCCCTGATGCCCCCTGCACGGGCTGGAAGCCCGCCCTGAGGGGCGCCTTGGCAGCACCTGGCCTGCTCCTCCGAAACAGAGGCTCCTCACGGGGTTGGTGTGAATTCGTTACATCACATTGCTTTCCTGCCAAGCTGTAGTGAGAAAGAGCGGGGAGCTTGGGAACTTGGGGTGTTCTGGGGAGTTGGCAAGAGGAACCTGCAGATAATGGGGTGATTCGGGTGCTTTTTTGGGGGCTCAGACTGACCTGGTAGCAAGGTTCCAGGGACCTTGTGTGTGGAGAGACAGCCCTGATAGGTAGGTAGCGGCCGCAGCTGATGGGGCAGAAATGAACTAGGGGCAGCGAAGGCTGATAACCACCTGACTGGTCGCCCCAAAGTGGGGACGTGACAATGGCCATCCCGCAGAGGGGTGAAGGTCAGCCGGCCTGGGAGGTCAGCTGGGGACGGTCTTTGTGCTGCTGCCTCATCCGGCTGGAGGAGGAACCTGGATCCTGGAGTATGGGGTGGTGGGGGGAGGCGCTAACAGGTGAAACTGGCCTCGGTGTGATCGATGGGTTACATAGCCTATCTTGAGTGAATCAATGACTCCCCGGTGTGACCTGTTGTCATTTAGCCCATGATTGCTTTCCAGAGCCTGGCCCTCTGACTCATGATTACCCCCCACCTATCAGTTGTGGTAAATGCAATTTAAGCTGCGAGGTAGTCTGGCAGTGTTTGCTTTGATCAGAGTTTATTCATCTTGTCTTTGAACCTATCCTTTTTCCCCCATCTTCCCCCACCCCCCAATCCATATCCATGTGAGATCCTTGCTAAGAGCATCTGGTCCCCTGGGAGCTGGGCTTCCATGGGGTTTTACCTTCAGGTGCCCCAACCCAGCCCCATCCAGAGGGAGGAGGTGAGGCTGCAGGGATGATTCCAGGTGTAACGTACTTCTCCCCAAAGCCTAAAGGATAGCAGAAGGGAAAAATCACTTCCTAAAAACCACATTCTTCGAAAGCTCACGCTTTTGCAAATGCTTCTCCATTTCCATCTTGATGTGAGTGAGGATCAGAGAGCTGCTCATTTAAACGCCCGCACTTCACGTTTCCAGCCCTCAGAGCCCGGGCTGCTTCCCCGAGGGCCTGTCTCTCCCCTGTCTCTCCCCTGCCTGGTGCCTTCAAACGCAGGAGATGCAGCTTTAGCTTTTTCTTTTGACTCCTGCTGCTTTCTCCCGCTCCCTTTTAGGAAAGCTGACAGGTTCCTTTCCTCTCGGGGTGCCGGGGAGCGGGAGAGCATGATGGGCTGGGTCTGGAGGAAAGCAGGCATGAAGGCGTTATTAGAAGGGTGTGATGGAGTTTAAAAGCTCCCATGCCTTCCCCGAAGCACAGGGTCTCCCTTGCTGGTGTTCTTCTGGTTGCTTTTTTTTTTTCTTCCCATTTTTTTAAAATTAAAGTATTACATTAATTTGTACCTTTCTTCGTGCCTGCAAAGATGCCAGGGCTGAGTGTGGCCACAAAGGAAGCATAGTCCTTTGTTCCTGATCCGCATGGCTCTCCATACATAATTTAAACCTATGCCTTGCCTCGTTTTCCCAGGACTCAGATGTCCAGTATAAGCTCAGGCCCAGAGTGCTGGCTCGGGGTGCTGCAAATATGTTCATGTCTCTTTTATTTTTCTAATGAATCGCTCAGAGGCTTCAGCTATTTTTTTTTAACCCTTATACAAAGATATGTTTTATGATTTTTAGAGAGGGAGGAAGGGGGAGAGAGAGAGAGGGAGGGAGAGAGAAACATTGATGTGAAAGAGAAACATCAATTACTTGCCTCTGATATTCCACCCAAATGGGGATCGAACTTGAAACCCAGGTGTGTGCCCTCACAGGGAATCGAACCCACAGTCTTTTGGTGCATGGTATGACACTCAGACCAGCTGAGCCACTGGGCCAGCGCTCTGCTCATTTTTATTGCCAGGGTGTCTCATGTCTCCCTCTTGAGCATGTCCCTTCAGTTTTCATCTAAGAATTACGATGTCATATTCCAAAACCCATGAATGGTGCTCCCAGTGCCAAGCAAAGAGGGAGCCTGAGGCTGTGGACCAGCCACCGGCCTGTGGCTTTAGCCGCTGCCAGGCGGTGTCGCTGTTGGGAGCAGCCGGGAGGATCCTTGGCAGGTCAGTGGCTGAACCCTTCTCGGCCCTCCTCCTTACAACAGACTTGCTGCATCCTTGGGCTCCAGAATACCAGTTTTAGTCCATACTCAGCGTGTAGCCCATTTCCCAAAGCATTTGCCCTGGGGGCTGGGTGCTAAGGGGGTTCCAGCCAGAAACAGCCCCCCAACTTGCACACATTGTGTCCCAGGTGCTCTCTTTCCTGGCAGTGCATCCAGGTGGAACTGAAGAGTGTATTTGTTTACTATCTAGCCCGTCTTCTCTCCATCTCTTTTTCTTCCCTCCCTCCTTCCATCCTTCCTTCCTATTGTTAGAACACTTAACTTGAGATCTACCCTCTTAGCAGGTTTTCAAGTGCACAGTACCATATTGTTGTCTGTAGCACGAGGTTGTACAGCCGATCTCTAGAACTTACCTTTCATAATGGGAACTTTATCTCCCTTGATGAGCATTTCCCCCTCCCCTTCTCCCTCCCTTCAGCCCCTGGCGCCCACAGTTCTCTTCTCAGTGTCCATGCCTTGGACCATCTTAGATGCCTCATGCCAGTGGAATCGGGCAGCATTTCTCCTTCTGGGACTGGCTTCGTTCTCTTAGCATAGTCTTCAGGTGCATCCACGTGGCTGCATAGAGCAAGAAGTCCTTCTGTCTCAAGGCTGCAGCACTGCTTGGTCAAGGACATCTCCTTTCTTCTAGAAAGATTCTGATAATGCTGAATGCCAGAAACCGATCATTGTCTCACTAATTACAAAGGTGCGGACGAGGAACCCGGAAGGCT